TTTGTCATCTTTCCTGCTGCACCACCTTCCAACAAAAGCCCCCCAGCCATTCAGGCGCGCGTAAAGCGTCGCAGCTCTACATATAACCAGGCTCATAACACTACAAAAGAATGGCAGTAACGTACAACAGCCCTATTAGCAGATTCGTCAGTGGGTAAGAAGCCCAGCAGCAAGTAGTCAATAAGTGCCATGACCCTGCAACAAGGCCCCAAACTGTCAAAAAAAAAGCCGCGCAACGCATGTGTAGACACATAAAGTAGGCATATACATATATATATATATGTATATGTAGACAAATGCTTGGTCTCTTTAGGCTTTCGTCGCCCGTTTTCCCGTGGCACTTAGTAACGACAGTTACACACGAGTTCATGAATGCCATTCACTGGCTGAATTCCATACCCTTTGATTGGTCACATCTGTTGTGCTCCATTTACAACCTTGATTGGGGCCCCAGACTGGCATAGAAATTTCTGATCATGGACGAGCAGCCAAGAGGTACTGCTAAACAGAAACTTTGAGCATCTAATCCTTGTACTCAAGAATTCGCACCCCGAGGGCGCTGTCGGCGCCGTTGCCTTTGACGCGCGCATTGTGGGCATCTGGGAGGGCAATGTCAGCAAGGCCTACACAGCCGGTGCATAGTGATGGCGACCTTTTTCAGTACTACAGGGACATAAATGCTTATCCGGATCATGGTGCAAACTTTCCTCTTTTGGGATACCTCAAATAGTGTAGGCAGAACGTACCGTAAATGGAGGAAATTTTGCGCCACTCGCAACTGCATAGTAGTGTATTTCTGGCGTAAAGGTACAAGGTGGTGCAGGCTGTCCTCCGTCCAACGGAAGGGAGTAGGCTCATGGTCTTCCTTGCATGGTGCGGGGGGCAGGAAATAAACAAAACATGATCTACTCTCCTACGCTACTTGAGTGAGGATTCGGAGCATTCGTTTGCAGGGCATATGGTAGTTTGCTTAAATGAGGGGACCACAATCTACACACCCAAATACTGTAATCCATGTTATAGGGACCCCCAGAAAGGTACCCATAGTTTTGGGAAACCCCCATATCTGCAGCAAAGGTCACATCTCACCCACCCATTCGGTGGTTCCGTTGTGGTCGAGCTTGGTGGCCCTGAATAGTTAGCATGTTACTGGGGGTTAGAAGTCGGGAATACGAAATATGTTTAATAGGAGTTCAGTGATATGGTAGTTTCCCAAAATTAAGGTACCCCAATATAGACCCCAATATACTATAGTCCTTATTATAGGGACCCCCAAAAAGGTACCCCTAATTTTGGGAAACCCCCATATAGGCCTCCATGGTCAGGCCTTCGGGGCAG